GTGGAATCCATCTTGTTAACACCAACAATTAGTTGTTTTACACCCAGTGTGTAAGCCAGAAGGGCATGCTCACGGGTCTGCCCATTCTTGGAGATACCGGCTTCAAATTCACCAACACCAGCAGCAACAATCAGGACAGCACAGTCAGCCTTTTAAAAGACAACAAGACCTATCCTGTTAAATGTTCTTCAAAAGAATGAACTCACCCCTTTTCTGATGCAGAATGCAAGCCTACAGTTATTTCAAGTTATTAATCCTACAAACCTGAGATGTGCCTGTAATCATGTTTTTGATAAAGTCTCTGTGTCCTGGGGCATCAATGATGGTCACGTAATACTTGCTGGTCTCGAATTTCCACAGGGAGATATCAATGGTGATACCACGTTCACGTTCAGCTTTCAGTTTATCCAAGACCCAGGCATACTTGAAGGAGCCCTTTCCCATCTGTTAAGGATTAAAAATGGTTACTTGGTAACTAAACATGATCAAACTTCGAAATCCCTTACTCCCACTTAAGCAGAAACGCTCAATTCCACTTTACACCTGTTAGGTGGCTTTTAACTTAGTTCCCAAAGTTACATAGATACCTAACAGCCAGCACTAGTTTATTCCCCCTTATGTAGGACACTCAGATATAAACTAGTGACAACACTTACTCTGAACTACCTTTCTCATTACTGTTGTACCTACCTCAGCAGCCTCCTTCTCAAATTTTTCGATAGTTCTTTTGTCAATCCCACCACATTTGTAGATCAGATGACCAGTAGTGGTAGACTTGCCCGAATCTACGTGTCCAATGACGACGATGTTGATGTGAGTCTTTTCCTTTCCCATTTTGGTTTAAGTTGAGCGGTGGTTTTCACGACACCTAAATTGAAGGAAAAAAAATCCTTTTACAACTACTGTCCCACAGACTTTTGAGAATAAGCCACGACCCGAACTCGCATAGGGCGAATTCCAAGGAGAATTACAACCAGTGCCAAGCTGGCCCAACTCTCGTCTCCACCCACTAAGCATGGGGTTAACTCCACCGCATAAAAATCCCCTCCCCCCTGCAGAAGGCCTGCTTCCAGGGCGCTGAGAAGAAATGAAGGTGCCAAGACGGCGCCCAGTACACCGTGGGGTCACAGGAAGCAGCGGCCTAAGAGGGAAAGGCCCTTTTCCTTTGTGTGGGTGACTCACCCGCCCCGCTCTCCCGGGCCGCCGCGTCCTCCATTTTGAGCTCCCTGCAGCAGGGCCGGAGAGCGGCCATCTTTCCGCGCACGCAACTGGTGCCGAGCGGGGCCGGCCTCGCCGCCCGGGATGGGATGGCATATCGCGGCGCGAGGCTGGGCACCAAAGCCGCCCGGCCCACTCCAAGGGACTCTCCCGCGTCCGACTCGGTGGCCACGGCTCGTGAGCCCCCCTCGGCTCGTCGGACATGCGCGCCGGGACGAGCGGGTCTCGCCGCCGCCCTCCGCGCCTCGCAGCGGCCCCACAACCCCAAGAACCCGACGACCGCAAAAAAAAAAAAAAAAAAGCCCACCCTGTGGAAATCCTAACCAACCTCCGCTAAGTTTTGTCGACGGAGAAAACCATAGCGGGTTTTTTTTGATAGTTCAGTTGTTTCGAGACTTAAAACGACTGTTAAGAGGGCAGGCAGTAAGGTGCGGCGGAATTCGCACGCGGCCGCCACAGCACCCAAGCCAGGCCTCAAACCAACCACGAGGCGAAGGGGGTCCTAAAAGAAGCGCAAGGCCTCGAACCTTCCCACCTACTCACGACCCGAAATTCGGGGTCAAGAACATCGTAAAGTGGCTGGGCGGCGCGGCAGTTGTAAAAGGCACGCGAGGGCCGCAGCCGGCTCAAAGAGGCCAGGCCCGCGGAAGCCACACCCGTCACTCACCTGTGTTCTGGCGGCAAACCCGTTGCGAAAAAGAACGTTCAACGCGGCTGCGGCACTTATATACGATCCTCCCCCACCCTCGGGGAAGAGGGCGGAGCCAGCATACGACACCACTTTCCCAGTTTACCCCGCGCCAACTCCATCAGGCACTGGTTCGATCGCCGTCCCCTCCCCCTACTTCTCGGGGACCGTGGGCGATGTACGCTCAGCCCACTGAAGAGCACACATCGCCTCGCGCATGCTCCTCTCGACCCCGATGACGACGAGAGCGAGTGAGTGAGGAGGCGGGGACCAGCGATCCCTCGGTTCTAGGTTAGCGAGAGTTTAACGACGGTCCCTGGGATTCCCCAAGGCAGAGGCGAGTCCTCCTTTGTATGAATTACTCTCAGCTCCAGCTGGGAGGGGTGGGGGGCGGGCGGCGAGGAGGCGGCCCGGCGAGGAAGTACAGAATCCTCTCTGTACGATTCCTGGTTTAACTGCAAAGGTGGTGTGGAGGTTGGAGTATGCTTTCCCTTGGCCATGTACCTCCAGTTCTTAGCCTAGTCCTCCCGAATGTCTGGGACAGCCCCTTTGAGCCGCTTCCTCCGCTCGTCGCAGGTCCGCCCCGGGCTGGCTCCTCCCCGGTCCCTGCCTTCAGATCCCCTCCGGGCTGGAGAGGCGTACAAGGCCCCGGCACTCACGGAGGGTCGGAGGACGCAAAGGGCCGCCTTCACAGCCCGAAAATCCGTAATGGTTTCAACTTGGTGGCCGTGACCAGGACGAATATGCTCTTGGGCTGGCCTCTTGGTTTGTTCCATTAAAAGCCCGTTGCTTTTATCGAAGCCCCGTATCACACGTTCACCCCATATGGTACTCCAGACGTCTGGTTTTTCAATTTAGATTAGATTTCAGTCCCACAGTTTGCCTTTTAACTATAGTTTTATTACGCTATAAAAAGACCCTGTGTGCGTCTACTCTTCGTGATACATTGTCTTTCCAGTGTACACTCAATTTGATTGCTAGGATGAGAAACCTAAAAAGAATTTTTCAAATTCAGTCTTTCCACATGATCTCATACAGAAACTAAGATCTACAGCATCAGCAAGCTTATCCACCCAATTTCCCATCCTCAACACTTGCTGTGAAATCACTGCTTCTAAAAAGTGGCCTATCCAACGGATTCATTTTCTGTCGTCCCATTGATTTTAACTAAATTTTAACATAAATCGAGAGTGAAACCAGATAAGGCCTTTTTGGTTGACAATCAGGGCAGACTGAAAAATACTCCTTTCAAGAAAGAACTTTTATTTTTAATGAGCTAGTTACTCTGTCAGTATGTCTCTTCCATGTGTGGAACATCACTGCAACTCCTCCAGCCAATCTATTAACAAATGCTTGAAACCTACTATGTGTCCAGGGCTAAGTGAAGTTCTGTGGCATGTACAAAAGAAATACTTCCTTTTGGAGAGGAACCTACAATCAAATTGGAAGAGGAAAACTGTAAAACAACTGGGAAGCAGTTAAAGGCAAACTTGTATGGTGCTTACTTACTTTCTATTTCATTGTAGACTACAGTTCTAGTCCTAGCTTTCAGTTACTTCTCACAACCCAAATCCTTTTTTTTCTTTGTAAATGAAATGTCTTTCAGAATAACCTTCCTATATCTTTTTGTTTTACCACTCTTTGTAGATATAAACATCTAAAATTAAGTTTTTTTTTATTTCTTCATTAGCAGGTTTCTAGCCTTCTCTTTTTAACTTTTTTTCATGAAAGAAACTAGGCCATATTTGTTTCCTTAGAAATTCATATAATCTTTTTCCAGCAAAAAAGCCCTTTCTATGTCTATATTTCTAGCTTCTTTCCTTTCGTCACATTGCATTTTCCTAGTGCCCTTACCCAGTCATATACATGTGGAATAAAATCATCTTGATATGCTAGTCAATGTTTGTAATATAATAAAAATGTAAGATACCAATTAAAATCAGTCACTACCAATAGAACAATGCAAATACCTCTGCTCTTGTTTACTTCCTTGGAAATATTAATGACTATTCTCTTTGAAACTAGATTCCCACAGTCATATTTGTACATCATAGTAATATGAACTGCACACTGTGTTATATCAGATTAAGATTAGGATGCCACACTAGATTTATTATTTCCCAGGCCTTCTTTTTTTTTTTTTTAAGATTTTATTTGTTTATTTGACAGAGAGAGAGAGAGAGCGCGAGAGCAGGAACACAAGCAGGGGGAATGGGAGAGGGAGAAGCAGGCCTCCCGCCGAGCAGGGAGCCCGATGTGGGGCTCGATTCCAGGACCCTGGGATCATAACCTGAGCCGAAGGCAGACACCCAACGACTGAGCCACCCAGGCGCCCCTCCCAGGCCTTCTTGAGCAAGCCTCAAATGGTTTAGGTTTGAACATTATTGGAGATAATACTAGGTCATATAAATATTTTAACAGGAATAGCAAATTTTTGAAAATGTAAAGAAATGGTTAAGTGACATGAGGAGGGAAGCAAAGACTGAAGAAGACTAAAAGTTGAGTACTTGAAAGCTTTACATGGAATCCAAAATTGTAGTTAACATCTAACCTAAGAAAGAAAAGTCAAAATGAAAGTGGATGTTGGTAAGAGGGAAAAGTATCAAAGATGATTTCCATTTGATAAAAGTGAGAAGTGACCTCTGTGAAATCTGCACAATTCATTAAAATGTGACGTTGCAAACTTAAGTACTTTTATACAATCCTAAAATTGTAATAATTGGAGATATGTGTACTTTGAGTTGAATTATTGTTTGAAAATAGGGACCTACTATATTCTAACTAATTTTTTTTTTAAAGATTTTATTTATTTATCTGAGAGAGAGTGAGTAAGAGACAGAGAAGGAGCAGGTAGAGGGGCAGAGGGAGAAGGAAGGAGAAGCAGACTCTCCCCTGAGCTGGGAGCCTGATGTGGGACGGGATCCCAGGACTCTGGGATCATGACCTGAGCCGAATGCGCCCCCTAACAGTAATTTTTATAGATATGTGTATATTCAGCACTATGCTGGACACTGGAATTCTTTAATAGATGCGCACAAACATTTCCGCAGGAGCTTATAAAAACAACTCCTGATTCAAATCTCACCTTTTAACTTTTCTAGTACTTCCTCCTTACAGCTCTTTTGGATGGTGAAAAAAAATAATCCAATATTCCAAATAAAGTAACAAAATGGTCCAAGAATGTTCCAGGAGCAAATAAAGACAGTCGGACTTGCATTATTATGCCCAGAAGAGAAAGGAAAATTAAAGTAGGACTCCAAAGCCATCCCAGATTGTAAGCAAGTTTTCTCCAAGGTCCTGTGATTGCAGATGAGCATATAAAGAATAATACCTTATAGAGAATCCCTTTTAAAAATAGAACCTAAGGAAAAGCAAAACTATACATAATTCCCTGATTTATATCTAAGTAACCTACTGGGCACCACTGACTAGTCGCTCTTACTCATGTTTCGATAATGGTCCAGACTTTTCAGGGGTGGGGGTATCTCGAGCCATATTGTGAATTAGATTTAGATACTAGCCACAAGCCTTTTCTCAGAGGGCAGAGGTCCCCCTCTGGTCTTGGTCGGGGTCAGAGCTCAAGGAGACCGCGAGTCCCGGGGAAGTCGCGCGCGGCTCCGGGCGCACCCAGATTCAGAGGAAGGGGGACTGGGGCGGCGCCGGCAGTATGCGGCGGTCCCAGGCGACGAGGACACTCGGCCGCCTTTCCCTGGCGCCCACTCTTGGGGCCGAGCGACCCGCGCTAGTGGTGCGCTGGGACACCTATAGGCAGGCCGGGACCCCCGGGTTCGGGTCTCCGCAGCACCGAGGCCACCCCGGCCCGCCCCCGGGCACGCCCCCACCTTGAGATCACTTTCTTGGGTCCTCTGCGGAAGAAAGCGCGCAGGAGGAGACAGAAAACCCCACGTGGCTCAGGGTGGGGGTCGGTTTTCGTCACCTTGGCATGGCCTCTTTTTAGAGGCCACTGAGGCAAATATTCTGTTTTTAAAAAGCCCTGTTCCCTAGCCCCTGTGTTTTGAACATAATCCTAATGCTGTTTTTCTCCCCACGACTTTACAGCAGATACGGTGTGCCTTTTACTAACTTAAAATGGTAACAGTAACATTGTTGAGACTTGTAAATGTGTTTTGGGGTTGTAATCTGAGGTCATATTTTGTTTAAGATTTTCCTTAAAGTTGTTCATACCATTTAGAGTAGCAAACTGTTAAAATACATTGTAGTAAACATCTGCATGACCCCTTTTAGGGGGGAAAAAAAGGATTTTAGTTATTAACTTAGTAAAAGGGTGAAGTGCAATAGTTCTTTGATATCTATAATTGTGGTTCACCAAACATCTTTCCGTATTGGCTAATCACTCTGCTATTGGGCCTAATTTAAAGCAGCTTTAAGTAATTACATTTTGCTGTGGCTTGCCGCGTTTTCATCTTGCCAGTGCCAGTAAAAAATGATCTTTAAAGGGGTATTTTAGAATATGATTAAGCCAAGAAATTATTTGGATTGAGAATCCAAGTAAAATGGTATTTCCATGCACCAGGCACTGTTCTAATATTTGCAATATTTAATGAAATCCCATCACCAACATTTTATAGATGGGGAGCCTGTAGGCAACTGATAGTGTATGCATAATAAGCAAATGCAAACATATATTCTTTTTAAACACTACATCAAAAACTAATGATGTAATGTATGGTGATTAACATAACGTAATAAAAAATATTAAACTAAAACAAAACAAAAGAAAACAAGGAAACAAAGGAAGAAAAAGAGACAAACCAAAAAGCAGACTCTTAACTATAGAGAACAAACAGATGGTCACCAGAGGCGAGGTGGGTGGGGGGGTAGGGGAAATAGGGAAAGGGGATTAAGAGTAGACTTATCTTGATGAGCACCAGGTGATGTATGGAACTGTTAGATCACTATATTGTACTATGTAAACTACACTGGAATTAAAACAAAATTTTAAAAATCTTGAAAAAAAAGTTTCACTTTTTGGCACAAAATGATAAAATATATCACATTGCTTCTTTTTTTTTTTTTTAAGATTTTATTTATTTAATTGACAGAGAGAGAGAGAGGGAACACAAGTGGGAGAGGGAGAAGCAGGCTTCCCACCAAGCAGGGAGCCCAATGAGGGGCTCGATTCCAGGACCCTGGGATCATGACCTGAGCTGAAGGCAGTCACTTAACCGACTGAGCCACCCAGGCACCTCTATTACATTGCTTCTTTCACTTAATACATCTTGCAGATCTTATGAGTACTTTAGGGCCCAGCGAAGCAACCTTGGAAACCCCGTAATCTGACCAGAGGGCTAGTTGTAACTTTCACGAGCAGGTCTAGGCAGCCTAGAAAAGGAAAATAGCAGTGGCTTTGGAGTCAGAAAATCAGGGATTCAGTCCTTGATTGCTGCTTACAGATTTGTGGTAGCCAGCAGTTCTTGGTTTCTCAGTGCATTTGTAACATTAGTCTGTTTGTTATTTATATTTAGTATGCACCTCACAATTCTTATACGCAAAGACATGAAAATATACGGGGGCATTCAATTATCTAGTAAAGATGGTGTTTCTAGAAGCAGCTGAGGGCAGGAGAACACCTGCCCTCAGTTGGTATGCGTTATGACACTCACTTGACTCAGTAAAGAATATTAACTTACTAGAATCTTTTTATTTGTAAAAATTTTGAAATAGCTGATACATGTACATGGTGAAACATTGTACAGATGTTATACAGTGAAATGTTACTTTTTTTTTTATAATCAGTTTAAAGAAAGTCTGAAGACTATGCCAGGAAAATTAACTAAAGATATTTCTACGAATGCTTTCATGATTCTGAGACCAGTGCCCACCAGAATAAATCAGTATGAATGAAAGGATAATCTTCCCGCACTCACTATTTTTTGTGAATCTGCATTTTATAGGCAATATTCACTTTCAGTATGTATATGTCTTCATAAGTAACATAGTGAAAAGAACACTGGACTAAAGAGCTGGAGTCTATTCCTAACAATTTTATTTATTAGTTGTATGATCTTGAATACATCACCTTCGAGCTCATTATGCTATCATACAGTATCTAATACCTATTTCACAGAACTGTTCATAAGAGGGGCAACTGGATGGCTCAGCGGTTAAGCGGCTACCTTTGGCTAAGGTCATGATCCCAGGGTCCTGGGCTTCCTGCTCAGCGGGGAGTCTGCTTCTGCTCCCTCTGCCCCTTCCCCATTCCTGCTTGTGCTCTCTCTCTCTCTCAAATAAATAAAATATTTAAAAAAAGAACTGATCAGAAGGATTAAATGAGATAATGTATCTGAAGATGCAGATTATTTTTACAAATGTAAATGCTCATTATAATTAGTAAATAATCATTAACTCTTTCAAAAAACAAGAAAAATCTGTTCAAATTTACCCATGTCTATTCATCCTAATAAGTACTATTTGGTCCATTTCATTTAAATATTAGAACTATATAGGGGTGCCTGGGTGGCTCAGTCATTAAGCGTCTGCCTTCGACTCAGGGTCATGATCCCAGGGTCCTGGGATCGAGCCCCGCATCGGGCTCCCTGCTCCACGGGGAAGGCTACTTCTCCTCTCCCACTCCCCCTGCTTGTGTTCCCTCTCTCGCTGTGTCTCTCTCTGTCAAATAAATAAATACAATCTTAAAAAAAAAAAAAGAACTATATAGATTCACCAATACATATAACACACACTGTGTGTGTTCTGTAAGTGGCAGGGACTTTTGAATTATGGCATTCATTATATGTTGGTAATTGTAGAGGACTTCAGAGGTCAGTTTTTATTCATCCATCCATCGAGCATTCACGGAGCATAAACTGTGTGCCAGGCACTTAGCTAGACACTGAGGAGATAAGAAAACAATCACTGTTGGATAGTGTGTTCGGCAGAGCCCTGGACAGGAAGGGAGAGGCGACACTAACAGTGTTGACTCCAGGGGAGCATCAGTGCTGGAACCAGGAAAACCTAAGGTGCTTTCCGTGAGCGAGCATCCACAAGGGACTCAGATTGGGGGAGGGGAAGAGGACAGCAGCAGGGAAAGTTTCTCAGTCGAGTCTCACCTTGGTTGGTTAGGAGCTGTGGTAATCAGCCAGTGAAGGAAGCCATGGGTTGGGGAGGGTGTGTTTTGGCTGACTGCCTTAGAAGAGAAGGTGGGAGGAAGAGTTTGCTCCTCTGCAGATAGAAGCAGAGATGGAAATAAAACTGTTTGGTATTCACTGAGGCCCCTGAGGAACCTGTGTAGAATATTGGGGCTTCAGAGACAGATGTGGGTCCCAGTCTGGCATCCATCCCTTACTGAATGTGTGGCTTTTGGTATTTGGTTTCTTTAAGCTTCAGCTCTCTCAGGTATAAAAAAGAAGATGATAGGGCGCCCGGGTGGCTCAGTTGGCTAAGTGACCACCTTCGGTTTAGGTCATAATCCTGGAGTCCCAGGATCAAGTCCCGCATCAGGCTCCCTGCTCAGCAGGGAGTCTCCTTCTCCCTCTGACCCTCCCCCCTCATGCTCCCTCTTTCTCTCTCTCTCATTCTCTCTCTCAAATAAATAAATAAAATCTTCAAAAAGATTTTAAAAAAGAAGATGATAATACCTACCACATAAGACTGCTACGAAAATTAGATAAGAAAATGGTTTTTTTCACCAAGTTAGAACAGTAATTGTCGGGGAGTTGTTTGTTTTTTCCTTTTTGTTTGTTTTTACCCATTGTCTATAATGTATAGCACTTTCGGAGGGAGGCAGCTCTGAAGTCAGCTTTCACTCAAATCCCTGTTGGCTCTCCCACTGCTAGCATGGGGATATTTGGCAAGTGATCTAACCTCTTTAAGCCTCAGATTTCGTATCTATAAAGTGCAGACAGTAATAAATAATATCTGCCCCAGAGGATTGTGGTGAAGATTAAATAAGTCAATCAATGTAAAGTACTTAACCCAGTGCTTCAGCACCTGGTAAGCATTCAATAAATCTTAATTGTTGCTTGTTATTTTATTTTTTCTTTTCTTTTAAAAAAAATTTTTTTATTATGTTAATCACCATACATTACATCATTAATTTTTTTTAAGATTTTATTTATTTATCAGAGAAAGAGAGACAGAGGCAGGCAGAGGGAGAAGCAGGCTCCTCGCCCAGCAAGGAGCCCGATGTGGGACTCGATCCCCGGACCCTGGGATCATGACCTGAGCCTAAGGCAGACGCCCAACCCACTGAGCCACCCAGGTGTCCCACATCATTAATTTTTGATGTAGTGTTCCATGATTCATTGTTTGCATATAACACCCAGTACTCCATGCAGAATGTGATGTTATTTATTTTTTTTTATTTGAGAGTCCTCATTAACTGGAATCTTGTCATAGACTGAAGTTTCTTTTCCAAGAAAATGCCACAGTTACCTTGTTTTCAGCTCTGTCTTTAACGTCCCTGCATTTTAGATTTGCTTATTAATTTTTCTCATAGGCCCTTTTCTGGAATCTTAAAGATGCCACGTTTTGAATAATTGTGAAGTTAGAAATGTTTAACAGTTTTTCTTTAACTAGGATTTCTTAAAATTAAAGGCAGCATAAACCATCACCCCTAATTCTAAAGCCCTGTCATATCTTTGTACTTTTCTAAGATTAAATGTCCTGCATCCTTTAAAAAAAGTTAGTATAGGCCTGTCCTCTCCTGGCCGAAGGCTGGGGGACCAGAGCAAGACGCGGGGATCATGTTCCGACACAAGCTGACGGCCCTCGACTACCACAACCCGGCTGGCTTCAACTGCAAAGATGAAACAGAATTTAGAAACTTTATTGTTTGGCTTGAAGACCAGAAAATCAGACACTACAAGATCGAAGACAGAGGTAATTTAAGAAACATCCACAGCAGTGACTGGCCCAAGTTCTTTGAAAACTATCTCAAAGATGTTAACTGTCCTTTCAAGATTCAAGATCAACAAGAAGCAATTGACTGGCTTCTTGGTTTAGCTGTTAGACTTGAATATGGAGATAATGCTGATAAATACAAGGACTTGGTACCTGATAATACAAAAAATGCTGACAATGCAGCTAAAAATGCAGAGCCATTGATCAACTTGGATGTAAATAATCCTGATTTTAAGGCTTTTGTAATGGCTTTGGCTAACCTTCATATTCAGCCTCATGATGATTACCTGGTAATGCTTAAGGCAATTCGCATTTTGGTCCAGGAGCGCCTGACCCAGGATGCAGTTGCTAAAGCAAATGAAACGAAAGAGGGCTTGCTTGTTGCTTTAGACAAACATATTCTTGGTTTTGACACAGGAGATGCAGTTCCTTTTTTTTTTTTTAAGATTTTATTTATTTATTTGAGAGAGAGAGAATGAGAGATAGAAAGCACGGGAGGGAAGAGGGTCAGAGGGAGAAGCAGACTCCCTGCTGAGCAGGAAGCCCGATGTGGAACTCGATCCCGGGACTCCAGGATCATGACCTGAGCCGAAGGCAGTCGCTTAACCAACTGAGCCACCCAGGCGCCCCAGGAGATGCAGTTCTTAATGAAGCTGCTCAAATTCTGAGATTGCTGCATATAGAAGAGCTCAGAGAGCTACAGACAAAAATTAATGAAGCCATAGTAGCTTTTCAGGCAATTATTGGTGATCCAAAGACAGACCACAGACTGGGGAAAATTGGAAGATGAACATTTTAGGTTTTCAGCTTCTCACCTACTTAGTACAATTGGGAACCATGTACGCTCTGGCATGTGTTTGGAAATCAATTGTCACATTTTCAAGGGAAGAATCCTAGAAAATTGACTATGTTCTTGAGATTTACCATCATTGCTTTTTCTTTAATAAAGTTCAGGAAAGTGGAAAAAAATTAGTATAGTATCTTTTAAATTATTGCTATGTTATCTCTGTTTTTTTAGTACCATCTGCTTTTTGTAGTTGGTGTTGTGCTTTAAAAACATTTTTTTAGGGGTGCCTGGGTGGCTCAGTTGGTTAAGCATCTGACTCTTGATTCTGGCTCAGGTCATGATCTCAGGGTCGTGAGATTGAGACCCACATTGAGCTCCGCACTCAGCGGGTTGTCTGCTAGAGATTCTGTCTCTCCCTCTCCCTCTACCCCTTCCCCCAGCCCCCCCATAAATAAATAAATAAATCTTGTAAAAAAAAAAAGGCAAACAAATGAACAAACTGAAAGTGCTCAGAGAAAGATAGGGGAACACATATAAGGGAGCAACAACTGAAATGATTGTGGACGTCTCATCAGAAGGATGGAGGCAAGGAGGTAGAGGAACATCATCTTAAAGTTCTGAAAGAAAAAAATAATCAAACCTGTCAACCCAGAATTCTATATCTAGTGAAAATATCCTTTATGAATGAAGGTGATAAAATCATAATGAGATTCCACTACATACCCACCAAAATGGCTAAAATTTAAAAGACTGAAAATACTAACTTTTGGCAGGCATTTGGGACTCTCACACAGCTAGTGAGCCTGTGAAATGGTACGTTCTCTTAGAAAAACAATTTGGCAACTGTTTTTAATGCTTAAAAAGTTAAACATGCATTTTTCATATGACCATCCTTTCCACTACTAGGTATTTGCCCAAGAGAAATGAAAGCACATGTCCATACGCAGACATGGGGCCAAATACTCATAGCAGCTTTATTTGTAATCACCAAAAACTGAAAACAAGCCAAATGTCCATCAACAATTTTGATAAACAAACATGGTATATCCATACAATAGAAAACTACTCAGCAGTAAAGAAGAATGAACTATTGATAGTAACACCATGAGTGACATTCAAAATGATCATGCTGACTGAAGAAGCAATATGAAAAAGAATACATGCTGAATCATTCTTCATTGACATAAAATTTTAGAACATGCAAATTAATCCATAGCAACAGAAAGCATATCAGTGGTTACTAGGGGATGGGGAGGGGGCAAAGGAGGATAGAGAAGAGGTATTACAAAGAGGTGCAAGGAAACTTTTGGGGTTGATGAATATATTTCTTTCCTTGATTGTGATGATGGTTTCATGGGTGTATACATATGTGAAAACTTATCAAATTGTATACTTTATATGCAATTTATCAAATGATAATCATAACTCAATAAAATTAGAAAAATAGGGAAAAAAACAAAAAAGAATGAAAACAATATAGATAAGTTTTTGGGTATATGTGTGTGTGTGTGTGTCTGTGTGTATATATATATATATATCCCAATATATATAAAAACTAAGAGAATTTGGGGTGCCTGGGTGGCTCAGTTGTTAAGCATCTGCCTTTGGCTCGGGTCGTGATCCCAGGGTTCTGGGATCGAATCCCATATCGGGCTCCCTGCTAGGCAGGAAGCCTGCTTCTCCCTCTTTCACTCCCCCTGCTTGTGTTCCTGCTCTCGTGCTCTCTCTCTCTCTGTCAAATAAATAAATAAAATCTTTAAAAAAAAAAACAACTAAGAGAATTTGTTGCCAGCAGATTTGCACTATGAGAGATGCTATAGGATATTCTTCAGGCTGAAGAGAAATAATAACAAATGGAAACTCGAATCTTCAGAAAGAAATAAAATGGAAATGATAAATATCATTTAATATAAAATGGTTAATATAGGTTAATATAAAAGACTGCCTTTCCTCCTAATTTCTTTAAAATACATAAAACTACTTAAAGCAAAAATTTTAATGTTGTCTTACAGGGTTCATAACATATGTAGATTGAGTGCATGTAGCAATTACAGCTTAAAAGACGGGTTTGGGGGTGAATGGGCCTATGGTGTTGCAAAGCTTCTACACTGTACGCTGATATTAACTCTGCATGGATTGTGAAAAGTTAAGTATGTCTATTGTAACCCCTAGAGCAAACACTAAAAACATAATGCAAAGAGATAGTGCTAAAAAGCCATTAGATAAAGTAAAATTCTTTTTTTTTTTAAGGTTTTATTTATTTATTTGACAGAGAGACAGCAAGAGAGGGAACACAAGCAGGGGGAATGGGAGAGGGAGGAGCAGGGAGCCGGATGCGGGGCTCGATTCCAGGACCCCAGGATCATGACCTGACCCGAAGGCAGACACTTAACCACCGAGCCACACAGACGCCCCAGATAAAGTAAAATTCTTTTTTTTTTTTTTTAAGATTTTATTTATTTGACAGAGATAGAGAGCACAAGTAGGCAGAGAGGCAGGCAGAGGGAGGGGGAGAAGCAGGCTTCCCACTGAGCAGGGAGGCCAATGCGGGGCTCGATCCCAGGACCCTGGGATCATGACCTGAGCCGAAGGCAGCCGCTTAACCAACTGAGCCACCCAGGCACTCCAATAAAGTAAAATTCTTAAAGAATTTTTAAACAATCTAAAAGAAGAAGAGGAGCAAAAAGCAGATGGGACAAAGAATACAAACAGTAAAATGATAGACCTAAATCTAACTTTTTCTATAATCACAATAAATGTTAATGGACTAACAGAGTCCATGCTCCGATTAATAAGCAGAGTTTATCAGAATGGATTAAAAAAAAAACACACACACACCAAAACCCAAGTATATGCTATTTACAAGAGACACATTTTAAATAGTAAACTGTTAAATTATTATGTGAATAGAAAATTCATGTATTTTGGCACAATGGAAATGACTTTTTTTTTTTTAAGATTTATTTATTTGACAGAGAGAGACACAGAGAGAGAGGTAACACAAGCAGGGGGAGTGAGAGAGGGAGAAGCAGGCTTCCCTGCAGAGCAGGGAGCCCGATGCGGGGCTCAATCCCAGGACCCTGGTATCATGACCTGAGCCGAAGGCAGACGCTTAATGACTGAGCCACCCAGGCGCCCCTGGAAATGACGTTTAAACTTTGCCTGTCTCAATCACCATACCTATAAGACCGGAAATAATTATACTGTCCAGGATTGTAGTGGTTAAAAATAATTAAATGGTTATAAAGGACTTTGCAAATACTGTATGTGGCATTATCATTTCCTTATAATAATTACTCAATATATATTATTTTACTATAGTCATTCCATTGTTCCACTCTGAACAAACTCATCAATTTTTTTTTAATATTTTATTTATTTATTTGACAGAGAGAGAGAGAGACATCACAAGTAGGCAGACAGGCAGGCAGAAGGAGAGGGAGAAGCAGACTCCCTGCTGAGCATGGAGCCCGATGCAGGGCTTGATCCCAGGACACTGGGATCATGACCTGAGCCGAAGGCAGATGTTTAACCGAATGAGCTACCCAGGCGCCCCAAACTCATCAATGTTTAATGTAAACATTTTCTTTTTCTTTTTTTTTAAGATTGTATTTATTTATTTGACAGAGAGAGAGAGACAGAGCACAAGCAGGGGGAGCAGCAGAAGGAGAGGGAGAAGCAGGCTCCCCACTGAGCAGGGAACCCAACGTGGGACTCAATCCCAGCACCCTGGAATCATGACCTGAGCTGAAAGCAGATGCTTAACTGACTGAGCCACTCAGGTGCCTCCAAATTAAGTTTGCTTCCATCAAATTCTTCCTATGGTTGAAAATATTTTATTCTGACACTAAACTTCAGCAATCAAATGAAGCAAATGAGAGCCAGCCAGCAGAAGGAATCTATTATTAGATTCCTAACCTGAAGCAAAAGTTGTCTGCAGAAACCCTCTTTAGATGTGCTCATGTCCACTGTGTGACAGGAGTGTGGAAGAACATAAAAAAGCATGCAGCTAAAGAATTGAACCTGGGAGCCTTCAGGGTCAGAATGCTTAATTGGAATTAGAGGACAGGACTCTATGAAACTGGAAGAAATACATTTTGTCTTGGTTAATCATAAAATAAAACAATAGTACAGGAATATTTTGCTCACACAACATTTTGTATGGCACAAATGGCCACAGGATTTCATAAGGTGAGCAGAAGAGAGGACTCAAGCACGGCTGGCTCACCTCCTTGCTTAGGTGTCATTTCATACACTGCATTCCCAGAGGGATCCTCTCCATCACGTCTAAAAATGTTCCCTGTTATAGCCCCTTCTTTCCTTCTTAAAGCTTATTGCAACATGTAATTATCTTATTCATTTGGCTACTATTTCGGCATTGTCTCCTCTACTAGAATGTACATTTCATGAGAACAAAAATCTTGTCTGATTTTTTTTTTTTACCATGGTATCTGGTGTCTGACACATAGTAGATGGTTAATAAACATTTGTTGAATGAATGAAGAGGAAATCTGGGCCTGCAATCTGCTTCTCCTCAAGTAAATTTATTCCACTGACACGTGTATGCTATATCCAGTTTGAGAATTAACCAATCAACCATAAAAACCTTTCTTTAGTATTTTTTTTTTTTTAAGATTTTATTTATTTATTTGACCGAGAGAGGGACAGTGAGAGAGGGAACACAAGCAGGGGGAGTGGGAGAGGGAGAAGCAGGCTTCCCGCTGAGCAGGGAGCCCAACGCAGGGCTCGATCCCAAGACCCTGGGATCATGACCTGAGCCAAAGGCAGATGCTTAACAACTGAGCCACCCAGGTGCCCCAAAACCTTTCTTTAGTATTACAAATCATTCCAAAATTCTTATGTTTTCCAGGAGCCCTCCTAATGTGCCCTGGTCTTTTTCTTGAGTTTGGACTTGCACCATGTTTTCTTGCTTGATTTTTTTTTTTAAGTTGGCTCCACACCCA